ATTTGAGAATTAACTACATATTGAACTAATTTGTTCAAGTTGTTCAAAAGTTGGGAGTGTGTCATATAAATACTTTAGAAGCATCTTCCGACCTAAAGTACATATACACATGTTATCTCATTATCTCATTAAAAAAGCATGTCTAGGCATACATAAATATCCAATTTGCTGTATTAGTAGACTCATCAGTATTTCAAAAATACATATAAATTATATAATAAAAAGAAACAGAACCGGAAAATGGGAATCTTTCCCTATATAACATGATTTGTTTTCTTTTGTTAATTTACATATTAATCTCGGGATATATGAATATCAGATGATTACCAGAGTACACAAATATTATACTCAGTAGTGAAAGATAGTGGCAAATAATGTATTGCTTAATACCTCATTATTTAAATATCATACAAATGTAGTAAAAAAGTTTGGGTCTAAATTCTAATGATTCAATGTCTATGTTTTTGTTGACCCTAAACCCCGTCCTCATGTTTATTTCCTTCCTCAACGAAGCAAACACTAAAAGGCGAATTGCTAAAAGCAGAAATAGTTCTCATCATTTTTTTTTTTGAAATATATGATAATGATACTATAGATGCTATAGTGGCTTTTAAAATTTGTGTTCTTTTCAATTGCTCCCCAAATATTTATAGTATTTCTTGTATTCTTCTTTAGCTAGCACACTCAAATCCCCAAACTTTATTTCCATGTAGAGGTTACCACTCGAATACATTAATACCCCCTCCTCCACGACACCCTTTATCATTTTTGTCCAATTCGATTATAAATTGGTATCGTAGATGATTTTTAATATAGCTCCATTCGATTATCAATTGGTATCGTAGATGATTTTTTTCCAATAACATAATATTTTAAGTTTATATAAAATACGTAAAATCTCACATTTTCGCAATAGAAAACTAATATTTTCATAATTTTGGTGTAAGGTCAGTTTTTTATTTTAGTAGTAGTAAAATTGTATTAGTTGCTATTGCGTTAATCTCTTCAATGATATGAGTAATATTTTTTTGGGAAATTGTGTTCTGTTTTACTCATTAGTCATTTATTTTGTTATCTAACACCACATAAAATAAAATAAAGAAACTAACACTTTAGTACAATGGCACTATAGATGCTCTTTTAAATAGTTAACTATACTAACAAAGTAATTAGCACTATAGAAACTAACACTTTAGTCATATGACAAAGTAATTAGCACAAAATTTTACATAGTTAACTATACTAACAATGGCATATCTATTTGTGACACCATTAAAATAGTTGAATATTTTGCGTATACATATTACGAACATTACAAATATACCAACTATTTTTGGATGTATAGTTAACTATTAAAATTATTATAATATAGTTTACTATTTTCAGATGAACTTGCGGATACAATAATTTATTATTTCTAAATAGTTGACTATAGTACAAAAATTTAGAAATAAAATATGTGAGTATACATAGTTCGAAAAATACCCAATATACCAACTATTTCTCAAATGTATAGTTAACTAGTAAGAACAATATAATATAGCCTATTATTTTCAGAATAGACAATAGTTCACTATTTCTAATTTTGTAGTTAACTATTTTTGGAAATATAATTAACTGTTTTTACGAAGTATAGTCAACTATTAAAAGTTTATAGAACAACCGTGTGTAAATATTTAGAACAAGTACATTCTTATTTTTAAATAAAAAAATTCACAAAATTCTAATACAATATACAATCAAACAAATATATGTTTTCTTTCCATAATGTCAAATCTTTTTTTTGGAAAGTATGTTTATGGAGAGAAAGAGAAAAATTAATAAATGTGGGGTAAATTAGTCAACTTTCTTTTCTCTATGCTATAAAGCTAAATTCAATTATGCACATGTTATTCTCTATATTATGTATCCCAAAAATGATATTTCACTAAATCACCCTATTTTTTTTAAGTATGTTAAAATAGTATTTCCTCCGTTTCGAAAAGA